ATATATATATATATATATATATATATATATATATATATATATTTGAATTATATTCTTTATTAAATATTTTCTTTCTTATAATTCAGAGTATAATTCTTTGTATTATTCCACATGTTGACAGTCCACATCTGTATATTTACAAAATGCGACAAAATGTGTCATTTGGAAAAGGCAAGTGTTCATGAAAATCTCCAACCACAATAATTTAGCGCAAAAGTCTTTTTTGATCGATAAAATATTCAATACATATTTTGCTAAATGTTATCTTATTTAGCAAAAATAATATACTATTTTTTTATTTACGCGTTTAAATGGTTTTATATGCAGCAGCCTTTAGTAGGTTTTATCAGAGGTTTCTCTCTAGATCCATGCACGAATATTTATTTTGAATTAAGTATATATGTGTGTGTATATATGTATGAATAGAGTGTGCCGGCATTCGAGCAAGTCACATTAAGAAATGTAGATTAATTAAACAAGAATTTATTTCTGGCTGTGTAACATTAAATGCTGTTATTTTTGTAAGTGACGTAACGTAGAAGAATCAATTAAGCTAAGCAAAATGCAGGAATCCGTGAAGTTCAATCTTAAAGAGGTTAAATCAGATCTTCTGCATGCGATACGCGAATGCTCCCAACGCGGTTTGCTACACACTACCAAATGGTGAATTTTTACTTGAATAAATGTATTACATTTTCCCTTTATGCGTACACTTTTAGAATTCCACACTCATGTCTCTTTGTTATAGGTTAGCGGAATTAAATTATTCTTTGAAAAATGTAGATATAGATGATTTGACTATACATGCCAATGTACTAGAGGTCAGCGAAGCAGAGGATATCTATACCTTAGCTAAAACATACTTTGATCTAAAGGAATACGATAGAGCAGCTTATTTCACAATGGACTGTGTAAGTCCTAAGATTAGATTTTTACATTTGTATTCACGTTATTTATCAGGAGAGAAAAAAAAGATAGATGACATGACGGATGTACCGCCAGATCCTCTGAAGAACGAGACTCTAAAGTACCTTTGTGCTGATCTAAGGTCAGATCATTTGGCATCAAAACTAGATGGTTATGGATTATATCTTTTTGGTGTAACGTTGAAGAAACTGCAACTCATTAGAGAAGCTACAGATGTTCTAGTGGAATCTATTCATAAGGAGCCTATGCATTGGGGTGCATGGTTAGAACTAGCTGCGTTAATCACAGACAGGGAGAAGCTGGAGAGTTTATGTCTTCCTAATCATTGGATGAAATATTTCTTTATGGCACACATGTACTTAGAATTACAACTCATAGATGAAGGCTTAGCGTTATATTGTCAATTGCAATCGATGGGTTTCCAGAAAAATGGTTATGTTTTAGCTCAAACTGCAATTGCAGTGCATTATAGAAGAGGCAAGTTAGCGAATTCAGTATTTAGAATAAACAACTGTTTATAATCTTTATTGAAATATTTTGAGTCAATTTTCTTTTTTGATTATATAAATTGATTTTAGAATTTAGTTAAATCTATCGCACATATTCATAATTATTTGAAATATATTTTCTTCTAAATAATATCTTCTAATAATAAGCAATAAGTTGCTTGAATATCATGTCATAAAAACATTTTTTATTTTAGATGTTGATAATGCAATAGAAACTTTTAAAAGAATAATAGATGAAGATCCATATTGCCTTGATAATATGGATACATATTCGAATTTACTTTATGTGAAAGAAATGAAAGTTGAATTAGCAGATTTGGCACACAGGGCTACCGAGATAGATAAATACAGATTAGAAACTTGTTGTATAGTTGGTACGTATTATGCATCTCTTTGAAAAGCACAATTTCATATTTAAGGAAAATATATTTTTAAGAAATATTTAAAAAATGGTGTCTCTTTTAGGAAATTATTACAGTTTAAGAGCTGATCATCAAAAAGCAGTGATGTATTTTCACAGAGCATTAAAAATGAATCCTCAATATTTATCAGCTTGGACATTGTTAGGTCATGAATTTATGGAAATGAAAAATACCAATGGTGCCATTCATAGTTATAGACAGGCAATTGGTAAATTCTTTGCATATTTTTTGTTTTCATCCGCAACATATCACATTTTTCATTTATATTTTTCAACTTGCTAGAGGTGAACAGACGAGACTATAGAGCATGGTATGGTTTGGGTCAGACATACGAAATTTTGAAAATGCCGTTTTATGGATTATATTATTATAAACAAGCTCAGCTTTTAAGGCCCCATGATAGTAGGATGGTTCTAGCTTTGGGCGAAGCATATGAAAAGCA